AGACAGGTTTGAATCTCGTCGTATTGATTTCTTTTGAGGGCAGGAAGTTTTAGCGTCACGTCTCTTAGGAATCATTAAGTCATTTAAAATACAAAGCCGTTTATAAGCTTTGCTCAGCGTTGAATGTTTATATAACCTTTGTCATGTTTCAAGAATGATTTTGATGCAAATACTCTGATATGGTTGAGAGTAAGGAAAGTCTTCTCTCCCTCTCCAAATGGTCTGATATGGCCACGCGTGTTGTTTCCAAGATCGATAGGACGAAAAGCGAGTGTCCGACGAAACTTGAACCGGTTGGTCAGTAAACAAGATCCACGTAATTCAAATGGAAAACCCTTGTTCTAAACCATTGGGACACATCAACTCCTCAATCCTGAGTAAATAAATGGTAAATATACTTATCGTTGGCCAAAGAAGTCCCACTCACTGTCTCCTCATGGTAGAGGTGTTGTTTACCGAATCGAGAGGACGAACGGCGAATGTTCAGCAATAAAACCAAGTTGGTGACTACGAGTAGTCTATCTAGTTCAGTCGGAAAACTTTCATTCTAAACCAATGCTACACGTTGACTCCACGATCCTGAATAAACAAATGGTGAATAAACCAATTAGTGATCACCGGCTACCATGACGCCGAATGTCCGAACGTTGCTCCACTACTACCTTTCGAATTGGACCTGTATACGAAAACCTCGAAGAGTGACCTCTGCTTCAGTTTGAGAACCCCAGTAGTACTTTAACTCACACACAAATTCAATTATTTATGTGGCACACCGGTAATTTGGTGCTTCTCTATATCGATGTTTACATGTATAAATAAAAGTAATATAATTGGCCAGGACTCTTCGGAATTTCAATGAGGCTAATCAAATTTTTTTATTGACTGTACAACGGCATCTTTTTATTAGAATTCTCTTCAAGCTGTCTTTAGTAGCCGAAACACTTAGCTTTTTAGTTACAGCTAAATTCAGAAGCTTATAATATGCGAGAATATAAATGGATGGATGCATCTATGTCATTGCAAACAAGTTTAAGCCATATCATTTCAAAGTCTCTAACCATTATCATGAGGACCCTAACCAAGAGCTAGTCTACATCTATGAGACATGGCTCAGTCTGATTGTCATGGGCTACTGGTGTCAAGTTTTGGTTTAGCTTCGCTTATTGTAATGAACGAAGACCAGAGAGGATGAGTGAAAGCTTTAAAAGGAGATGCAGTTTACTAGGAAAATGTGTACGCCTCCTCTTAAGACTTCCATTTGCGAAACAAACAAATTATTAGATATCTTCTGGTCTTCAAAACACTTTGATCGCGCTATACATTTGGACCATACTACTTGTACGCCATGTTGCGAGTAGTATCCACCACACTGGAAATAAATCTTTTTAAAGTCTCTTCGGATCATCCCTGGTACTCTAAGTAGAGCATAAACCATCGACCGTTTCTTTAAGCAAGGTGGCTTTCTACGGGATGGAGTCGCTCGCCCCCAATATCGAACCCTCCTCCTGTATCCCGGCTTAGGACCGGCAGTAACCCTAGAACACGGCTCCAGGCGTAGTTTTTAAAGTCTCTAGTCACACATTATCGGTTCCATGTTTGATTCATCACCTGCTAATATTTATGCATTGGGTTGTTTTTCGTTCTTTGTTTTTTTTAGGGTAAAGTTAGTGCGAACAAAGGTGAAATCGGTGATGCCACACCATTTAATGATGCTGTCAACGTACGTAAAATTTCATTACTTTTACAAGAATATGGTTATCAACATACTGGTAATGAAATAATGTATAATGGATTTACTGGACGTAAATTAAATTCACAAATTTTCTTAGGACCAACTTATTATCAACGTTTAAAACATATGGTTGATGATAAAATTCATAGTCGTTCACGTGGTCCAGTACAAATATTAAATCGTCAACCAATGGAAGGTCGTAGTCGTGATGGTGGTTTACGTTTAGGTGAAATGGAACGTGATTGTCAAATAGCTCATGGTGCAGCACAATTTCTACGTGAACGTTTATTTTTTGCCAGTGATCCATATCAAGTGTATGTGTGTAATTTATGCGGTCTCATTGCAATCGCGCATCAACGTAATAAAACTTATGAATGTAGAAGTTGTAAAAATACTACTCAAGTAAGTAGTGTGTGTGTGCTTTTCTTTTTAATTTTCATTGAATAAGTGATGAAAGATTCTAACCCCTTGGCGCTTGACATATGGTCGTTGAGTTTGTCAATATTACCACCGAATAGGTGAGCAATAAACTGAAGGCCTACGGGCGGAGTCATGCTGTTTTTCTTTCTTAGGAAACCAGTATACGCAGTAGCGGACAAAAAAAAGTAGCGCACTTCTTCAACGGCATAAAATTCCACGTTAGAAGCTACTCTTTCAAAATCGTCATATGATCCAACCTCAAACAACTCTTTATGGTCAAGTGGTGTTCAAGTCATAATACATCTAAATAACTAACTCACTAATACAGTTTTCCACTTGAAAAAAACAGTATGCATGCACAGGATATAATAATGATTACTAAATGAAACGTGATAATAGTCCATTGTATATTTTTTCATCAAAAGGTAACTAACTAACTAACTAACTAACGAGCGTGAATAAACAAATTAGCATAAGACAAAAGTGAAACTTAATTATTGCATGGTTTCTTTTCTTTTCTTTTATAAGAATTTACTTATGTATGCTGTTCTTTCATGCATGCATGCATGCCTGCCTGCCTGTCTAGCAAATAAAACTCCCTTGAGAGATAATAATAAAATAAATAGACAGAGCATTTATAGAGATAGATTGATTTTCCTTCTTGTGTAGAGAATCACGTTATTATTATTATTAATATTATTCATATTACCCAATAGTGTAAGCAATAGAGCTAGCTTATTAGATGATGGATGACTCAGTGTTATCATCATTGAAGAGAAAATAACTTTTCATTGAATTCAACACATGATGAATATTAGTACAATATTTATTTATACAGTACATAAATCATAGAATTTCTGTATGTATGACATGGAGATACTACTTGAATGCTCAAACCAAAGTAGATAGCAACTCTCTGAACTTATTTCACTGAGAACAACATTAGGGGAGATGCAGTCCCACGGTAGCCGATGGTCGACAATAGATTTATTCTGGATCATGGAGTTAATATGTGTATCATTGATTTCTAATATGAACTAGGTGGATCAACCGATTTAAACTCTGTTGGATGCCTGCTTTTCATCATACTCTTAATTTTGTAAACACTCCTTCTCCTGCATTCGTAGGATACTAGTCTTCGGATCATAGGTGTATCCGAAGCATTGCTCGTGTATCCCGGGACGACCGAGTAAGCAATGCTATCGTTAGGAAATGAGTCATAGGTAAGGATGGCAAATCAATTGATGAAGTAATGGGTCGTCATCAGTTGAGGTGGTTGGGACATGTGTTACGAATGCCGAACCACCGACTGCCGCGACGAGCTATGTTTTGTAGTGTAAGAATAGGTTGGACGAAAGCTAGGGGCGGGCAAACCAAAACAAATGGACTGAGTCATGTTGACAGATGTAGGCTACCTGGTTGGGGTCCGCGAGATGAAAGTCATCAATGGTTAGAGACCTTGAACGACATGTCTCAGAATCGTTTGCAATGGTGCATCCACTCTTTGTATTCTCTCTAATTATAACCTTCTGAATTCCTCATAATCTTTATCTTTCTCTTTCTAAATTAATCTCACTGAATTATACTTTCCGAATCATTATCTTTGCTCCCTAATCTTATCCATTACTGCTAATACTTCTATTATCGCTATCACTCTTGGATTTGAACTGACAGTTACGTCTCTGTGCTGACGTGGTATGGCAACCTGAACTGATGTACTTATGTACGAAGTTCTGTGTTGTATCTGTCTGTCTGGCCGTGGCTATACACACGTGAAAATAGGAGTGCATTAGACGAGAGTGTGTGCACTTTCCCTACTCCCATCTGTACCAGGGTATTCGGGGGTTTGAGTTAATGCTAATGCTCTCTTTTGACAATCTATGCATTCTAAATGTCTAACTAACACACAGTATTATATTTCACTTATCCTAGCAATATTATATATAGGATTGATTATTATTCATTATCGCTTACAGAGATTGTTGAATAAGAAGCATTCATCTTTTGTTGTTGTCTTTTTATTGATTACTTTCATTAGATCTCTTTGGTGAAATTACCTTATGCTTGTAAATTATTATTCCAAGAATTAATGTCTATGTCAATTGCACCAAGAATGATGGTCACTAGTCCTGCAGCTTATTAAATTTGAAGAATTAGAAAACAACAATGTTTTATTTTTCATTCTATCATGTCACTCATTCTGTTGTTATTGTTTTGAGGTCTCAGTTTTCCGGTTTGTAAATAAATAAAACTTTTTTCTACATTGTACACCGTGTCTTATTTCTGTTTTATTGTCGTTAAAAAATAACCTTGATGTCAACTACACGTGCGTGTGTGTATGTGCGCGCGCGCTTGAACGCACACAGGTACGTAATAAAACTACATAAATAGGTAGATCATCATCATGGGTTCACGTGCCCAACTACCGACTACCTAGACGAGCGATACTGTCTGATGTACAAGTAAGTGTACACTACATCTGCTTAGGATTTGTGGTGGAGACCCCTGAATACTATTACGGATCAAAATCTTTACAGTGGCGAATTCACTATGACCATTTTTCTCTTTCTAAATGTACCTCATTGAAACATACTTCTTGAATCATATCTTCGGTCCCTAATCTTTGTTTTTTTGATTACCGCTAATATTGCCAACTGTCTCTACTACTATGCGATTTAAAGTTGACAATAATGGCAACCTGAACTGATGTACATATTGAAATCGGTAGGTATAAATCAATCAGTTGTTAGATGGTATAAACCCTTTCAAACGGAAATAATCTAAGCCATTGGACTGACTTATTTCACGTGTATAATATAAACACTACAGGTCTACATGATTGTACCGGCGGAAATGGGATTAATGCACTAAAAAGAATACATATAATCAGTCCGTATAACATTAGGAAAAAAAAAACAAAACAAAAGATGATGTAATCTCTTTTTACATAATCCACAAATTATGTAATATGTATATTTCTAATTCTTTCATACAAAATTGAAGCAAATAAGAGTGGTGGATATAGTAGAGTAGTCAGTAGTATAAATATAAATTCATATATATATGTATGTGTGAGTGTGTGTATGTAACATGTCAGTCAGTTAGTTTTTCTTTCATTGCTGCGTGTTTCTCACTTGATTTTATCAATCAGTAGCAGTAGTAGTAATTATTAGTTGTGATGCAATCGACAATCAGTTTGTTCATTGTATTTGCGTGTGTGTGTATGTGTGTTTTAGCTTGTGTAGACAGACAAAAGTAAATCTAAAAATGAAAAGACATGTGATTAATTTCGTGTTTAAATAAATATAATCTACATATTTCTCTTTTCCCACATTTCTCCAAAAGAGTTATCGTGTTTGTTTCGATTACTCAAGGAGAAAATATGGGATACAGTGAAATAATAATCATAAACCATGTACAGTCAGATTAGTCGACTATCCGATAGATTTGGTGGTCGATCTGCAAGCTGTACAACAATCAATATTAATATTATGATTATTATCACTTTCTCATCTTAATCCGAAACAGCTTTCACTAGGAAAAAAGTGAGTGTATGCACACAGAGATTCTACAACAACATTCTTACCGCTTAACTTTCGAGATTCTGTTTATTTATCGATCTGATTTCCGCTAGATTGTTTGGCAAGTTATCAGGGAATTTTTCTACAGAAAAATAAAATATTCCACAGTTACGCGTCAATCAATTATGTGGAGGTTGTGGATGAGTATATATTGTTGCGGAGCTCCATACTAGGACGAAACGGGGACTCATTCATTTCCCTAGATACACACACATACGTACATTTCAATTCTATTCATTTGCTCCTTGGCACTGGCATTTCATTTCGCTTTGTAAACCTGTGATTTTGTGATCGGTGTAGTGCGACAATAAATTTTGTCAGTGGTTCATATTCGTATACGCCGTTGGGCCTTAATCTAGTTGGCGGTTATCACGGTGAGCAGTATACTAAGTTTAGGGATTATATCGAGTACCCACTACTACAAAGTTCAATACTTGATTGATTGCATAGATCATGGACTATCATTAACATTTTGGCAATTGGAATCTTTACACGTCAATCAACTATGTAGATATTTTCGATGCGCACCGTCGCGGAGCTCCTATACTAGAGAGAACGAAACAATTGTCTAGTGCTATCAGGTTTTCAATGATAGTCCATAAAACTAAACAAATCGATATTCCTAGTAAAGTTTGTCAACAAATATGACGCATTATTAAGTGAAAAAAAGTGTGTTATAACACAGGGATGCTTAGTTGTTGTTGTTGTTGGTTATATTGACGAGTCCCACTTTTTCCCCAAAGTATTCAATTCTTTGACAAGAAAGAAACCTTAACTGTTGAGATTTCTCATACTGGTCGAGTGGGATTGAATATCACTTATCCTATGTCGTCATTATGCTTTATAGTTTGGACATTACCGTTGAGCTATTCGAATTTGAAGTGTTTTCACCAAATTTAATAAATAAGCTTTGAAAAAAAAGCAGTTTATCATCGTAAATAAGACCCATCAAAACTCCGCCTGGAGCCCCTCTAGGGTTTCTGCCGAGCCGGGATAAAAGCGGAGGTTTCGACAAGGGGTTAACGACCCCACCTAGTTGAAAAGTAACTCGCTAGAAAAACTCTAACCAGAAGAAATAGGTCGGAGGTCTATATGCTCCACTTGGGGCAACAGGCGAAGGTAAGTTTTCATCGTAAATGTTCAATAAAACAAAACTAGACTTACCAAAAATATTTTTTTTTATACATATAGCTTGAAATAACTGTATTGTACTTGTTCATCAATCAATCAATCAACCAAATCGTTCAGATAATAATGCGACTAATTTACGTTTTCCACGATAAGTTTGTCTTAAACATTCAACTAAACTACGAAATTGTAATGGTCCATCTGGCCGCAATAAATGAAATGTATCTCTGGCACGTGTTAAAAAATCCACAAATTCCGTGTATTGACGTGGACTTATATTAGCTAATCGCATATGTGTAGCCATCACAAAACCATTAATAGCTGCATCTAATAATCCTTTCAGCGGTGGACGATCTAAACTGAGCATTTTACCTGGACAACCTGACGACGCACCGGTACTATTATTGTTATTGTTATTATTATTATTATTACTACTATTGTGAATGTAATAGGATGTTGGATTGCAAAAGTGTGTTGTACATGAATTGCCTCCTAGGTAAAAAGAAAAAAAAACAGAAACGTACAGAATATAAATAAGTAATAACTAATATGTATGGATTTTCTGAAATCACTTACTTGTTAGCATAGAGTTAGCTACAAGACAAGTCTTATGCGTATTGTTGTTTTTACAGATTGAACTCATGAATGAACCGAGGTACTAGGTAAGGATGGCAGATCAATAGATGAAGTATTGAAACTTCATCAGTTGAGGTGGTTGCGACATGTGTTACGAATGCTCAACCACCGACTGCCTCGACGAGCTATGTTTTGTGGTGTAGGAGTAGGTTGGAAGAAAGTTAGAGGCGGCCAGACCAAAACATGGCAGAAATCCATGAAGTCACTGACAAGTGGACTGAGTCATGTTGGTAGATGTAGACTAACCTGGTTGGGGTCCGCGAGACGAAATTCACCGATGGTTAGAGACCTTGAGTGACATGGCTCAAAATCGTTTGCAATGGCGCAAGTGCATCCATTCATTGTGCTCTCTCAAATCCTAATCTTCTGGATTCGTCAACACCTCTACCTTTGTCTTTCTAACCTTATCTCACTGAATTATACTTCTTGAATAATATCTTCAAACCCTAGTCTTCTTCATTACCATTAATACCTTTACTATCTTTATCACTATGGGATTTGATTTGACATTTGCGTCTCTGTGCTAATGTGGTATGGCAACATGAACTTATGTACGTACGTACGAATTTCTACGTTGCAACTGACTGACATGAATGAATTATTGTTAGACCACCATTATAGAAACCCGGAAGCACAGGATAGCCTGGTACGGGACTGATCAGTGGCAGTGCGCATCCATGACTCCTGCTACATCCAGTATTCCAACCCAAGGCCTTTGTCCTGTACGAAATGGCCGTCCAGTGCTTCCAGGTTTCTGTTGATGGTCTAACCATAATGCATTCATAATTTCAATGTGTAGAAATAAGTCTTATTGTTTATGTAGGTTTGTAAATAGAAACTCTAAAACATTTAATATCGTCACTATTTTACAGTGTATGATATCTGCACTTCAATAATAACTTGGAACACTGTAGATTATATTGTAATTCAATTTTAAAATTGTTTAGACTTTTCAAATTGTGACATAATTTGATATGAAATATGGAAAAAACGATGAAATCTAGGATGTGCATTCCATCCTATTTGGAACTTGTCAACTAGCTTGTGGTATATAATCTTAACTTGGACAAGTCTACTGATTCATACCTATATGCATAGTCTGTTTATGATAACTGGCTGTCAAAATCCGAATAAATTCTGCCTACCACTTGCTACGATTTAAATTGCTAGACTCCTGATGTATTTTTTTTATACAATTCAGTAAGCACAAAATGTCTCACTCACTTCAAATTAACCATTGGTAACATTTTCATATATTGGTGGGAAAAAACCGCCACAACATTTGAGAAAACTTCACAGCGTTTAAATTAACTACATTTGAACAACTCAACTTCTAAGCTGTAAGATTTGAATCATATCTCACACTATATTTCAGATTGCGCTTTAAGATTAAGTGTACATGAGTTAAAGGATTATTAATTTTAAACGCAGTCGTCATTTAGCCAAAAAGTACAGAGATCTGAATCCCAACACCTATTTAGCCGGATACTGATAATACGAATCCAGCGACAACGTGTAGAAAGAACTTCGTACATATGTACACCAGTTCAAGTTGCCATACCACATTAGCACACAGAAATGGAATTATCAATTTAAATCCAATAGTAGTTACACGTTGTAGCAGTAATGGAAACAATTAAAGATCGAAGATATAATTCAAGAGGTATAAACCAGTGAAATAAATCTAAAAAAGATCATGAGGAATTCCGATTATAATTTGAGAACAAACAAAGAATGGATGCACCTGCACAATTGCAATCGATTTCGAGCCATGCCATTCAAAATGTCTAACCATCGGTCTCGTGAACCCTAACTACATCTACCAAAATGACTTCATGGATTGGTGCCATGTTTCGGTTTGGCCACCTCTAGTTTTCTTTCTGCCTACTCTTATATCACAAAACATCACGCGTCGATGCAGTCGATGGTCAGGGATATGTAACACATGTCCCAACCACCACAAATGATGAACATTCGCTACTTCATTAATTGATCTCCCAACCTAACCTAGTACACATTTCCTAACACCAGCAATGCTTACTGGGTCATCCTAGGATTTCCAAGCGATGCTTGGAATACTTGTAGCCTACGAATATCCTCAACTCGTAGCGGCCATGTTTCACACTCGTATAGTATGACATAACGGACTGCTGTGCAGTAGACTCTCCCTTAGGTTAGCAAATAGATATCTCACCTACTTCATAAGTAACTCAAGTTAGTGAAAGCCAGTAGTCGAACCTTCAGTGTATCCGCGTGCTAAGATTTTGTCAGACATCGGGGCCATCAACGCTGATGATGATGATGATAAACAAAATGTACATACATTGCCTCAAAAAATGACTTATACAAAATTTTATTACATTTCATGAATTAAAAAGAATCAAATATACAACTTACGTCCAATAGTTGATGGTATTGAATTCATTGCCATGTTGTTGTTGTTATTGTTATTCATCATAAGTAATGATGAGGATGATGATAACGATGAGTCCATTGAATTATTACTGTTATTATTATTAGAATTGGTTAAATTCACATTTATTCCACATGGTATCGATCGACAACGATGTAATATATCAGTTAATAATGTTGGACAATGTATATTACGTATAACATGATTTAATATTTCTTGTAATGCTCCTGGACCAAGTCGATGTCCCAGTAAACATGCCCATAATACATCATTACCAACTGGATGACTTTCCTACAGTGAGAGAGCGAGAGAGAGGAAAACATTTGAATGTTTAATTATTGTTATGTGGTTATGCCTGGCCTATGTATGCAATGGTCCAATAACGACGCAGAGATGAGCTTTGAATAAGGCATACACAATAAAGACAAGAGAATTGCTCTTCTATCCTAAAAAGGACTGTCATACATCAAAACTAGCACCGAAATGCAAGAGAAGAATATACAAGATAGTTCTAATAGATTTCAAACATTCCTTCATGTACACACATATATACAAAACTTGACTTTAGTTATTCTCGTTAAATGAATGAATGAATGAATGAGCCTAAAAAATAGGCTATGAATATAGAGCAGAAGGAGACTGTAGGCATGATGAACTGTCAACAAAATGGAAACTAATCAATCGTCATATGACGATGATGATGGTAATTTATGAGTTGGTAAAAAAAACCGTGATAAAAAGAAATTACAATTATATAAACCTGATTAATAATAGTCTTTGTTAGGATATAACAATTAGCTCATTTATATAACATTGAAGTATCACAGCTCGAGCAAAATTGAAACCAGCTGACTTCTCACAACGGATAGAAGAGGTTAGAAAAGTTTGACCTTAAAAATGTCACATCTCATCTTACCCCACGTATTTCTGTCTCCTGTGGTGTAAGGTCTTTTGAAGAGCAAAGTTAACACGTTGAAAACTTCGCATAAGGAGGCCGTACTCAACTGGTCGCAATCAATTATCTGTGGGGCTCTGTGGTTATGTTTCCAGGTCACTAAGATCAACGCTAACTCAAATTGCTTTTTAGGTCCTTCAAGATGCATCCACCATATGGGCAACCAGGAAGTGATATCTGCCTTTATATCCCCAACAGCACACGAGATCAACTTGCTAACTCAAATCACACTGTATTTGCTTAGCTGTTTTTTACTACTATTAATAATTGGGGTACTCACATATTTGTCCTGATAATTTCATTTGCTTATGGTTTGATATAGTTTGACTAGTAAATCGTTTAGTCATGTCCATTCACTGAATCACACAATCATAAGTTTGAAATGAATTTCAAACAAAACTACTGACAATAATTTAAAAAAAACAGTAATCTGAATTTATGTCATGATCATTGGTTTTATTCGTCCACAATTACTGAGGGGAAAAAAAGAGCTCAATCAATATCATCAGTCTATCAAGTCACTGACTGTCATAATTAGAGCTGAGCTGATCGATGCAAAACACTTGGTCGAGTACTCGTCTGACAATATCGATTAATGGGTTTAAGAACTTGATGGAATGACCAGAAAACAAAGTCTCAATTCAACTTCTCGCATGTGGGAATCGAACCCAGAGTCTCACAGACACACTCTGCTGAGTCGTCCCACAATAGGATAAAACGGCCACCCAGGTACCGAATGGTAGCACAAGATTGATCAATTCACGAGTTCAATGAAACTCAGCAATCTCTTCACAAACCCTAATAGTTGACAGATTAATTAGTCTTGAATGATAATTTAAAATATGTTCAATACTTAGTTGGGTTGTAGTTAGAATTACCAACGAAGAATAATTTAAAACCAACTTCTTATACTACTACTAACATTATTATTATTTTACAATAAGAAATATGACATAAACTGTATAAATATTAGAAAGCACTGAAGTGATATTTTTTTCGACCATGAGACTCTTCAACAATGCATATATTCACGAAGCCACCAGAGATTTCAAGTCTCGGCAGTGAATGTTAAATTTTTTGAACCACCAATGGGGTCGGCATTCATGGCTTCTCTCGTAAGGCCCCGTATGAAATTATGAAGGTGCATTGTTGACGAGTTTCAATACTAAGATGAAACAACAGCCCTATAATCCTTTCTATTATAGTTACCTAACAAAGGTTAGTTCGGATATTAAAAGCTCCAACATGTAGTTTGAAGCGTGATTTCAGGAGACCAAGAATTATGCTCCGTGAACTCGAAACGTTTGAATCAGCGGCACGAGGTGGCAAGGGAATGAAAGAAGAATTGGTCGGGGAGATAAGCGAGTTATTAAAAGGAGTAGGAAGAATTTTATTGTGATTTAATGGTCTCGTGTGCTGTCACGGCTATGAAGGCAGATGTCACGCGGATGCGGATGCGCGCACCGTGGGTGTTTCTTGAAGAACCTGAAAAAAGCTGGATTGATGCGGGTCGTAGCGACCTAGGAGTGTGACCGCAGGGCCCAATAGACAACTGCCTGAAGCCAGTCACGTACAGCCTCTTTATGCGAGGCTTTTAAATTATCAGCTCTGCTCTTCAAATGGCCTTACCACTGGAGACGGAAATCCGTGGGGTGAGGTGAGGTGTCAGATTTTTTCGGTTGATCTTTTCTAACCCCTTCCGTTGTGAGAAGGCAGCATCGCTACAGATGATGGTTGTCTGCTGATAAACCCCTCTACATTCAGGATTACAATTTTGTCCTCAGACTTTGAGTTGTCACTTTTAGTCTCACCGTTCTCTAATTTACCTGCCTGGTATGATAGGACATAGAGGAACGTGTGTTCCAGGCAATATAGCTCCGTTGTGTCATCACGATAGGTAAGCCCGACCACTACGTTAAGATAACAGCTACGGTTGGGCCCTCACACACAAACTAATGTATTTTTACTTTTATTTACCTGTGTTGTTGATAAAACAAACAATCGTGTAGCATGTAATGCAAAAGGAAATGCTCTCCATGTCCAACCACAATTATCCATATAACGTGCTAATGAGAATAATTGAATTGGTCCAAGACCACCAGATTCAGCGGAGTTCAATACAAGACGATAGATTGCATCAAAAGCTATTGGATCTTTGACGGATAAATTTAATGCAGGTAATGCACAATGAATTGGATCTTTTGCAGCAGCCTACAAAATAGGGAAAATACCAAACAGTTAGGTAATGAATTAGGCTTTTAAAAAAATCATATAATATACTGAAGAACTTGCATTGTTGCTTTACGTGATCAGAAAAAAAAGACTCTGCATTTGGTCAGGGTCATCTGTTTATCCTAAGTCAACGTATAAATCTATTGGTAAATAATTTCAATTTCTGAGAGGTCAACCGATGTTTATGACAAAGTTAATTAAAGCGGACAACCTTGACCAGTCAGTTACAACGTATAACTTCGTATATGAGTACATCAGTTCAGGTTACCAAACCACATCAGCACAGAGACGCAATTGTCAGTTCAAACCGAATGGTGGTAGTGATAGTAAAGTATTAGCAGCAATGTAAGAGATTAGGGTTCGAGAAGTATAATTCAGTGAGATAAATTTAGAAAGCGGACGATGAGGAATTCAGGTGATAATTTGAGAGTAAACAAGGAGTGGATGCACCTGCGTCATTGCAAACGTTTTTCAGCCATGTCGTTCAAGGTCTCTAACCATTGGTGACTTTCGTCTCGAGGACCCCAACCAGGTAGCCTACATCTACCAACATGACTCAGTCTACTTGCCAGTGACTTCATGGATTTCTGCCAGGTTTTGGTCTGGTCGCCCCTAACCTGCTCCTACATCGCAAAACATAGCTCGTCGAGGCAGTCGGTGGTTAGGCATATACAATATATGTCCCACGAGCTCGCACTAGAGCATGATCTGAATGTGAACATGTGCCCCAAAGCGAGCGACAGTCCTCTATCGAACCCCTTCATCGGTGGCTGATGGAGATGTGATCTAGTTGGGTCCAATGTTGGGACGACTTTGGGGGGTCGCCAGGTCAAAAGATGTCTTTCCTTATGCTTAAAGTTAGTTTGCTACAAATAAGCGGTTATCTGAGCACAGTTGCAACAGACGGTCTCTACTATCTGTTCTCTGAGTTGCAACACCATACGATCCAGCCAGGTCTCGTTCCTTTTCACTCAGTCTACCCTACTTGAGCATTGAAGTCACCAGCTATTATTATTAAATCAGAGCGCCTAACTTTTCGATCAACATTAACATGACTCCGGTGATCGACAATGACTGCATGAAATAACCCTACATGTTATCCTGGTCATATTCGTAGCTTAGTGATATCACTCAATACAAACGTCTGCTCCATATAGACATACATACAAAGATAGCAACTCTACTACTACGATCGACCATAACTAGAAATTACCGCTTTAAATTTACTTTATCTTTTAGAAAAAAATATATTTTGTTCAAGCGAAGCAAAATAATTCACAGAGAGGCAATAGACTTCTTGTAATTCCACTCCTCAATCATGTAAAAGATGTAGAGGGCAGAAGAGAGAGAGTAACGAGCATAATCATAAATCGATCAAGGTTAGACCATCATTAGAAACCTGGAAGCACCAGACGGCCATCTCGACTTATCTATCAGCAGTGCGCATCCACTACATCACAACCAATAAGCTAGTAGTACTGTTCAGTATTATGTTAGGCAGAATAATTAAAAATAAGTACTTTTGTTAGTTAGTTAGTTAGTTAGTACAGTAACTGGAGAAATAGATCATTGTTTAAACATTTAGGTGTATGTATGTATGTGTATTACGTGTGTGTCTGTCTATCACAAGCATGTGTGTTCGCACAGCATGGAAATAAAAGAGTAATAATTAATATTAATAATAATAATAAAATAATAGAATAGAAAGAATTAATAACAACAGAACTCCTCATTTCATCAAATGATTAGTACACAAGGTCATCATTCTTTCTTTGTTTAAATTATAAGACACACAAAAGAAACACAAAAAATGAATAAATCCATTTCATGTTCAATGGAGACACAGGGTGAAGTAAAAATCTACTTATTTTTTTTTATGTGTATTTGTATGTAAATGTTCACATTGAACATCATGATAAAATAACAACAACACCATTAAACGTGATGATTCATCAACATCATTATTCATTCACTCATCTATTCATTCATTCATTCAATTGTTCAATCATTCGTTAAAGTACATTAGGATGATTCAATCGATCAATTATTATTTTGTTTGAAGGCCTTTTGAAATGCTAACAAAATCTTTAAAAAAAAAAGATTCCTTAAATTCTCCTATGATTTAAATGAAAGACAAGGAATGTTTAGTTGATGATTAATAGATTGGTGTGTGTGTGTGTGAGAGTGTGCGAGCACGGTATCCAATGGACAGCTAGGATGCAGCTGGACCATCGGGACTTCGAAGATGATATGGCGCTTCCATCTCACACGCAACATCAAATGCAAGAGAAGACAACCAGTGTAGCAGCAGCCTCTGCAGCAGTATGTCTCAACATACATAAAGGGAAAAGTAAGATTCTACGATGCAACACAACATGCATCAACCAAATCACTCTTGAAGGAGATGCCTTGGAGGACGTTAACACCTTTACATATCTGCGCAGCATCATCGACAACCAAGGTGGATTCGATGCAGATGTGAGGGCGCGGATTGGCAAAGCAAGGGCTGCATTTCTACAATTGAAAAATATCTGGAACTCCAAACAACTTTCAACCAAAACCAAAATCAGGATTTTGAATACAAATGTCAAGACAGTTCTACTGTAGAGAGAACAAACCAGATTCCAGTGGAGGAGGAAATCAGGAAGAAGCGGTGGAAGTAGGTAGGACACAATGCGAAAGGCACTCAACTGTGTCACAAGACGAGCCGAACCCTCAGGGTCAAAGGAAAAGAGGAAGGCCAAGGAACATATTAAGCCGAGAAATAGAGAAAGACATGAGATTAATGAACGAAAACTGTAAACAACTAGAAAGGGATGCCCAGGACAGAGTTGGTTGGAGAAAACTGGTCGGCGGCTTCGTGAGGAAATTCTTTGAGTTCTGATGAGGAGCTGGGACCAGTAAAGTTCAGCCTTGTCACGTGTACGCAATTACCTATCAATAACAACGGGTGAGGTTGCGCAAAACCATTGATTGACCAAAGTTAGAAGATAACATTGTTCAATGCCGCCGACCTGTGTTCGATTCCCGTCAATGGGGGTCGTGGATGCACGCTATTGAAGAGTCCCATAGTAGGACGCAACAGATTCTGATGTTTCTAGGTTTCCAATGGTGTGGTCTAACAAAGATCGATTCACGATTTGAAATAAAAAACAACAATCTCCATATCTACATAATGAATATGTCCAGTGCTTATCGATGATATACAATGATTGTCCAAAGTAAGTTTAATAAACCGTGATGTTAACAGTGAAAGTTAAATGATTGTCAAAAGCTTTCAATATTAATATTTCATAGATTTAGACTAAAAACTCAACACATTCGAATGAATAATGCCACCGAACACCAGAGATGAGGTTGGTCAGAGTTAGACAGGGTTGAGGATGAGCACTGCCACTAATGAGTCCCATACTATGGGACGAAATGGCCGTCCAGTGTTTCCAGGTTCCTAGTGAAGGTCTAACAATGATTCATTCATGATTTCAAGGAGAAAACTATCATCTCTATAATAATGAAATTCTATCCGTTTCGCATACTCATAGTACTTTCTTAATCTATCCCCCTATTTGGACAGTTCTTTCTTGGAATTGACGAAAACGATAAACACGAACAAGTGTTGGTGTAGAAACAAAATTAAATGTTAAGTTGAAAAACTTTATTTTGACGAGTAATACTCTCTCTCCCGCTCCGTCGAATATTCATCACATTTACATGTGACCTGAATTTCTTTTTGAATAGAATAACCAATCATATTGGTTGGTAATGAATAAAATGGAAATAATTAATTACTGATTAAATTATTTTAGTGTCATTATTTCTCTATTCTGATGATGTGGATAATAATTACTGTTCAAGGTCAGAAGAGATCAAATAAACCAATCAAATCTAAGTGGAAACCCATATAGTAAGACAGACACATATAAGAGAGTGAGAGGGTGAGACATGTACAGGAAGAACAATCACTCATTGTCGTTTCACGTGCAGTGTGTCATACATAGGTGGGAATCATGTTGGGATTTTCTCAATCTAACAAATAGAACATGTGTGCAAGTGTACAGACAACAAAAATAGAAATAAACGAATCCTCGTGATAATGAGTTACCTCCTGCAATCACGAGTTGTATTGCGAGAAAAATTTTTAATGCTTTTTATCTATTTTTTTCTACAAAATGTCGTATTTTGTCTTCCTCCAAGTTAAATAGATTAAACAATTTAGGAAAAAATATTTTTACGTGAAGCTGCCGCACATCGCTTACTTATGCCTGTTACCCATAATGGAGCATAGGCCACCGATCAGCTTTCTCCAACCTAATCTGTCCTGGGCCTTCCTTTTCAGTACTATTCGACTGGTGTTAAGTCATTTTATGCCTGCTTCCAATTCTCAGAGTAGTGTGTTTATTGGTCTTCCTCTTTTCCTTTAACCTTGAGGATTCCAAAGTGAATGGTTTGAACTATTTTTTTTCTGGTTAGCTTTTTTAGCGAGTTGGCTTTCTACGGGATGGGGCCGCTAACCCTATATGCCCAACGCTGTTCCTTTATCCGGGCTTGGAACTGGCAATAAACCCAGAAGGATTACTGGCGCAGGTTGCCACATTTTGTTAATGCTAAAAGTACTGCTCATGAGGACACTTTGACGTTATTGATTAAGGCCATGAAACCTTACTATCGAGTTTTGTATCATTTTTATCGTCGGTGAGTCGTCAACCTCAAGACCAGGGGTTGTAGACCTGATTTCATCTTTACCCAGTGACAGATTCTGAAAATAATCTATCCATAATGGCCACTAACCATAACTATGTTTTCTAGCAAGAAAACAACTATTGACTACACATAAATCAAGTGTTTTTATGTTATGGCAGTTAAGTAACCTATTAAAAGGTTCCTGACTTACATACTGTTTGTTGGTGAAAACCTTTTGATGATGATCTAGAAGTGATAACTTTAAATGGTTTGCTGTTTAACCTAATCACTTTAGTGAAATTTTGGAGCTTATTAGTTTGATTACTTTATGGATTGGTCAGTCAGTTGCAACGTAGAAATTCGTACGTATGTACATAAGTTCATGTTGTCATACCACATTAGCAAAGAGACGCAAATGTCAAATCAAATCCCATAGTGATAAAGATAGTAGAGGTATGAATGGTAATGAAGAAGACTAGGGTCCGAAGATATTATTCAAGAAATATAATTCAGTGATATAAAGTTAGAAAGACAAAGGTAGAGGTGTTGACGGATGCAGAAGATTAGGATTTGAGAGAGCTCAACGAATGGATGCATTTGCGCCATTGCAGACGATTCTGAACCATGTCATTCAAGCCCCCTAACCATTCGTGACTTTCGTCTCGCGGATCCCAACCAGGTAGCCTACATCTACCAACATGACTCAGTCCACTTGTCAGTGACTTTATGGATTTCTGCCATGTTTTGGTCTGGCCGCCCCTAACTTTCTTCCAACCTACTCCTACACCACAAAACAAAGCTCGTCGAGGCAGTCGGTGGTTAGGCATACGTAACACATGTCCCAACCACCTCAACTGATGAAGTTTCACTACTTCATCTATTGATCTGCCATCCTTACCTAGAACTCGTTTCCTAACGACAGCATTGCTTACTCGGTTGTCCCACGATATACGAGCAATGCTTCTTAAACATCTATGATCGAATACTAGTAACCTACGAACATCATCGACTCTTAACAGCCATGTTTCACATCCATATAGGCTGCTGCGCAGTACACCCGTCCTTTGGTTAGCAAACGGATATCACGCCTACGCCATAAGTGACGCAGGTTGGTAAAAGCCAATCGAGCTTTCTTCATCCGCGCTGAGATTTCGTCGTTTGCCTAGATAATTTCAAAACAATTTGGAATATAGAAATGACAAAAGTTTTGATAAATTCAGCAGACTTTGAATTGTGTTCTTTTTATCAATGCAAAAATAAAATTTATTTCAGATATCCATAGATACGATGCCAAGTTTAATTACAAGCATCGACGTAGACGGGTATGTTGACCGATTTAATTAATTATCGTCAGATTGTATTAACGGTTTGGATTGATAAAATCTCAACATGTACCGAAAAAAATAATAATGGTTTTACGTCTGATTTCGAAAACTTATCCAGTCCATATTATAAGTGACATAACTACCTACCTAACACAATAATAAGCAAACTATTAGTACTCTGTATTATAATAGTACGTTCTATAATATACTTTTCATACATTCCTACATTTATGCCACAGAATAAGAAAGCAATCCAAACATTAACTATTGTATAGGTAAGTGTATAAAACGAAATTCAACAATTCTGTCTACCAAAATTCATTCATCATGTTCAGACGAAATCTAATTTTCTCATGCATTCCAAATTACGCAATAGAGGTGACCTCAAAAAACATTACAAAGAAGATAAGAGTGAAATAATAATAGTGGTAACTAACGATCTTAAGGAATAATTAATCAGAAACCAAAGGTTTCTCTATTTAGATAAGCCAGTGTAGAGTTACGCATTTAACAAGTTGATCTAGTATGTTGTTAGGGGGATATGAAGGCGGATGCCACTTCCTGGCTGCCCACATCATGGGTGCATCTTGAAGGACCTGAAAAGCAAATTGAGTTAGCGCTGGTCTTAGAGACCTGGGAACATAACCGCAGAGCCCAAATGCTAACTGTTTTAAGGCCGGTCGAGCATGCCCTTTTTATGGGAAGTTTTCAACGTGTTAGCTCTGCTCTTCAAAAGACCTTAACCACAGGATACAGAAATACGTGGGGTAAGGTGAGATGTGATCGGTCTTTACTAAACTTTTCTTTCCGTTGTGAGAAGTTAGCAACGTTATAGATGCTGGTTGTCAGAGAGAAGCACACTAATACTGTCACGCCCCTCTACAATCAGTCTTACCGTTCTCTGATCGACCTACGTGTCACAGGACATGAAAGAACAGGTGTTCCAGCCGATCGGGTTATCACGATGTGTAGACTCGACCACCACGTCAGGGTAACAGCTATGGGTAGGCATTTACTAGATGCTACAAGTTACACACCCGTTAATGAACTACATTTCGTTCATCCGTGATTAGCGATATTATACGAATGACCACACTGAAATGGGATGCAATAAGATTCTACTGGATGAAATCCACTAACTACCAAGATATCATATCACTTCAGATTTGAAGAATACATGAGCCTCAGTGATACAATTCAAGGTTTGTCAGCTGATTGACAAATAAAATCTATGCCGGTGCATTGATAGAAACTGGGTGAATTGGATGAATAAACAGCGAGAGAATAATGAGTTTAGCGATATGACAAAACATTTTGAGAGATGGCGTTGAATGTTGTATAAGGATTATAGGAAATTGAAAACAAAAGGAATGTACTAATCTTGTATCCAAACTGTAGGCAACTCTTATAAAATATTACAATCGTTCCATCAATCAATCAACCACTTGTAATGTTGACCTTGGTACGTACTATATCACAATATAGCAGAGAGAGGAAATTGTCAAGTCAAATTAGTACAGGTAGTAACAGTAATAAGAGATAATCGGAAATACTATGGAACGAAGGTAAAAAAAATACAAGCCAAAGAAATAAATATTAGGGTTATATTGGAATTCAGAAGCTTAGAATTTCGGAGGAAACAAAGAACAGATACACTTGCGTCATAACAAACGATTTCGAGACATGTCATTCAAAGTCTCTAGCCAGTGGTCATGCTACAAGTGATGTAAGTTAGCAAAGGTCAATCAAATGTTTTGTACTCGTACCGAAATTTCGTCAAACACCAAGCCATCAGAGTTGATGAAACTCTTAGGATAGGTAAAGCAATCCATTCGTTCAACTACTTCACTCCCTATCATTAATTAAAAAGCTAACGCAAATCAATCCTTAAGCAATATTTTGTAGTTGAAGGGAGAAAACCACATCCCAAACATACTTGCAGTGTTACTTAAGGTGGCCAGAAGATTCTGTGTTTTGTCAGTGACTACACTAAACAGAATTATACCATCTATATATTTTAAGTCAACAAGTAGAATCTCTTGGGTGGAAGAAGGTCAGCTCATTGACAAGTCAGATGGTGAAATATCCCACAATGCTAAATGTTATGATGTGCAATGTCCGAGACCTGGACGTCAACACGTGCTAACCAGGCGGCATTAGATAATAATTGTCTCGGCCCAATAATAAATCAATGACATTCTATTGTGGAGATCGAACTAGTGTATATTGCACTTATTAATAATTATTACTTAACTAATAGGATTAGTAAATCTTAACAATCTCTACAAGTGCATTATTAAAAATTGCGGTCAGTCAGTCAGTCAGATGCAACGTAGAACTTCGTACGTAAGTACATCAGTTCATGTCGCCATACTACATCAGCACAGAGATGTAATCGTCAATTCAAATCCAATAGTAGTAGAGTTAGTAAGGGTATTAGAAGCAATCGGAGAGGTTAGGATGAGAAGATATTATTCAAGAAGTATGATTCAGTGAGATAAGTTTAGAAAGTCAAAACTAGAGGGATTGAAGAATCCAGAAGATTAGGATTTGAGAGAACACAAAGAATAAATGCACCGGCGCCATTGCGAACGATTTTGAGCCATGTCATTCAAGGTCTCTAACCATCGATTATTATCATCTCGCAGACCCCAACCAGGTAGTCGACAATTACCGACATGGCTAAGTTCACTCGTCAATGACTTCATGGATTTGTGCCATGTTTTGGTTTGGCCGCCCCTAACTTTCTTCCAACCTACTCCTACACTACAAAACAAAGCTCTTCGAGGCAGTCGGTGGTTAGGCATACGCAACACATGTCGCAACCACCTCAACTGATGAAGTTTCATTACTTCATCTATTGATCTGCCATTCTTACCTAGCACCCGTTTCCTAATAACAGCGTCGAAAAATTGCGGTAATAATAATAATAATAATAATAATAATAATAATAATGAATAATAATTTCACTCACTTGCAATGCCATATGTCGTACAGCATTTGTAATTTGTTCACGTGATACTTTGGAATAAGGCACTGCAGTATTCAATAATTGTGCTGCCATTATAATTGAATGACTATGATTTCTTGTGGTGAATGATGTTGGACAAAATGAATAACATGTAGTAGGAGGCCATAGAGAATAAGGATTGATATCTGACGATCCATTCATTATTAGACCAGTACCAGTATGATTATTATTAGCATTACTACTGCTACTACTACTATTACCATTACCAGCATTATTCAAACAATCTTCATCCCAATTGAAAAATAACGACGAGGAATGATCAAAGCAACACATTGGATTATCAATCAATGGTCGATTCGATTGATCAGGAATAGTAGGAGTAGCGGTAGTATTAGTAGAAGTAGCATTGGAACAACCAATTTTATTGGTTGATAAAGATTTCGATGCATGTTGATGATGATGATGAGGATGATTCATTAGAATGGATGATGTATTATTGACATCGAATGCACCACCACCATTACTACTATCAACAGCAGTAAGTAATGCAGGAGCTAGCCAACTAACAGCTTCTCTTGGATTCACATAAGATGACCAATGATAGATTAGATATAAACAAGCGGATGGACCAACATGTAAAGCAGTAGTTACTGCCCATGCTAATATTTCACGTCGACGCCAATGTACTACAACCGAACGATTCAATGTACGTAGGACAACAATTAAAGCTATATGAAATGCTGTACTAATAAGGAATATACGATCACGTGTATAATGAAATGGTTCATTAGTGGAATTTGTTGTGGTTGGTAAGATTAAACTAGATGAAGTATTGGAATTTAACAAACAATCACATTCAATGTAGACAGTGTCTAATAAATTAGTAGTAGTATTATTAGGTTTACGATTAATTGATGATCTGAATTTCCAACCAACTGCTTCAGCAAATACCTAAAATAATAGATGAAAGGAAGATGCGACAAATGTTAATAACCTCATAGATAATAGGCAGTATATTTGGACGTTTATTATAAGGTTGTGATCATGAATCGATCAATGTTAGATCACCATTAGAGAACTGCAAGCATTGGATGATCGTTACGTCCTCGTGTGGGACTTACCGGCAGTGCGCACATCCACCAGTAAGGTTCAACTCTATCGGGTGTAAGGCAGTCACTTACCGAGGACAATAGATGAGATTGCGCAAAGCCGTTGTTTGATTGAACTTAGACACTGAAACGGTTGGATGCCGCTGGGTCAGTGGTGCATAGGTTAAGTGCTCGTGCACGAGATCGAAGGTCCTGGGCTCGATTTGCGAGAGCGACAGTTATGGGTGCGTACTTCTTAAGAGTTCCACACACTTAGACGGAACGGCTGTCCAGAGCGTCCAGGTGTCTAATGGTGGTCTAACAATGATCGATTCATTATTTTACAATAGAAATTACAGAGATAAGGTAATCAATCAACTGAAATAACTTGCATGCATGTTGTTTACTCAATAGATAAATACATGTTATGCGATAAAAAATTTAAAATATAATCGGTTCTGTTCGCCAAAACCTTATTACATCATCATTTGTGTTGTTATGAACATTCCTCGAATGTATGACCTTTCAGCATCCATCTCATTTCACATTTTGTGAGGTTATTAGTATTTTTATCATTATTATTAAAACACATAAATATTGGTATAAAGTTGTCTGAGTGTGATTAAAGCGTTCAGATTTTCATGAACTTCGATCCCAGGATCGAACACTGTCCCATTTGTGTTCGTATAACCAGCTTGTAGTAGTATCACTAGATCTGGATTGGTTGGTACGGAAGATCCACCTAGGCGGGTTGTCAAACTCCATGACCAACGGCCACCATGAGGCTGAATCTCGTTCTACTGAATTAGACCTGTAGGTCAAAGGCTTCCGGGGTGATCCCATCAGAAAACAACCTACTTCGATCTCTAAGTACGCAAGCAGTATCACAATTTATACGCATATTCAATGACCGGTTAGGCGCACAGATATTTAGATGTCTCTTTGTATTAAAAATAAATCAAAGTTTGAAAGGAAGGAAGGAAGGAAGATCAGATAAGCTGAACTATAACACTAAGTGTTGGTCAATTCTAATTCGTAGCTTCCTTCAAAAACATAAACTACACAATTACTATATTATATCGATTAATTAATAATTTACCTGTTGAGAAATAGCCAATAAACTAACAGCCGAGTGAATATTTTGATCACAAATTTGTACAATTTGATCTAATCGATGAATATGTGATTTAGAGACACGAATCAGCGCAACAGCTAGTCGAGTTTGACGCGATTTCAATGTTTCTATGCATCGACGATATTGTGGATTTTGATTTAATGATAAAATATTATTATTATGATTGTTATTACTACTGTTATTATTATTATTCATAATAGTAGGAGATGGTAGTCCAATGGTTGGTGGTGATGTCACCACTGATGATGATGATGACTGGGGCGGTGGAGGTGTGAACCAACGACTACTGTCAAGATTTTGTAAATTGAACATTGGATAAACAGATGGATTGTTAGTGCTGTTATTATTATTATTACCATTACTATTATTATTATTATTACATGAGGGATTCAAATATCCATTATTAAATTTCAAACAATTCTGTGTAGACATAGAGAATACAGATGGTAGTGGTGGGACAGATACACTGGGCATAGAAATTGTACAACGATCATAATCTGGAACAGGTTGTTGTTGTTGTTGTTGCTGCTGCTGCTGCGGTGATTGATCCCATCGAAATGGATTACTGGGTGGATGTGCATATCTTTGATGATTATCATAATTGGCATTCATATACATATTATTATTATGATTCCCAGTGAATTGTACTGATGAATCCATCATATTCCCAGTTAGTGTTGTTGTTGCTGGTGTTGACGCTGTAGCGGCGGTCGTTGTCGGTGCCATCGGTGCAGCTAGACCGAATTCTTGATCACTAACTTCTGTATTGACAGCAAGTGCAGTTTCTACATTACCACCGGCACTGTTGATGCTGCTGCTGTTGCCACCGCCAACACCTCCATTGTTAGCGTGATTGTAATAATCCCAAAAACCTCGATGATTGTAATTTATACGTTGAGAATGTAAACAGTTTTGAGGAATACCATTTGTATTATTATTATTATTATTATTATTATTATTAATATTACTCAATAATTGTGGCGAACTATTACTTCGTGTTAAATGTGTTCCCATTGTACTTGGATTATCCATTAAAGGATGATAATTATCAAGAACAGAAAATCTAACAAATCAGCAGAAAAACACAGAGAGAGAAAGGGAAGAAAAAAAATAAAATAAAACTATGCACATATTATATCCCATGAATAGAAAAAAATAGGTGGGAAAAACAAAATACTGGCAACAATTTGACATTCAATGCCGTTCAATGTTCACTGGCTGTTTGAATGTTAACGATTATCTGACCAATATGTGGAGAGAGAGAGAGAGCCTTGAGTAGAACATCAAAACACACTGTAATGAAATCAATGGTGAGCGATTCGAAATAATACTAGTAAGTAAATAAAAAAAGATGAACTGAATGGATTTGTACCATTGAGTCACGTCACTGAACGGAACATCTTCAATCCACTGGATCAAAGTAACTGACTAGAATCCATCTACTCAGACGACTCAGTCCATAAGTCAATAATTTATGTTTTAGAGTTTGTCCTTAGATTGCTTCCAACATGAGTGATGAAGTAGACGGTGATTGGATATACGTAACACATATGTTCCATTGAGCTTGGTAAATAGAATCCCAATTCGTCAGTTACAATCATCATCGGTGAATTAACAAGAATTTCGGCTTTATCATGTTCTAGTTTTATTGCAACCGCATTATTTTGTGTAAGACAGACATACATGTCGGAGTAACCAAGCGGTCTAACGCATCAGAATCATAAACACACACGGACAACAATGAACGAGATCTCGCTGAGGGAAAGTAGTTAATTTTAGGTAAGGAACTGGTTTAATCAGCATCATTCTGGATAGAATGCGATTAACTACCCGAAAAATAATGACAATACATACTGAATTAATCACAACCAGCATTTTACAGATCCAATATGTATATATATTTCAGTATGGGAAGATTTAAGTAGATTGTAAAACTGTTATCACGAAATGATCTACGTTATTAGTCAGTTCGTCACAATTTATAACTTGGTACGTGTACGTACATCAGTTCAAGTTGCCATATCACATCCGAACACAGCGAACAAATTGTCAATTCAAATCCCATAATGGTAGGGGTTGTAACACTATTAGCGGTGATCAAAAAGATTAGGGATCGAAGATATGATTCAATAAAATATAAATCAGTGAAATCAATCTGGTCATGGGGAATTCACAGAAGAATAGAATTTGGTGGAAGACAAGGAATGGATGCACCTGCGCGAATTCGACCCATGTTATTGAGTCTTTAAGCATCGGTTACGATTGTCTTGCAGACTCCAACCACATAGTCTACACCTATTAATGTGTTTCTGGTCACGAATCAGTGACTTCATAGATTTGTCCTGTGTTTTGGTTTGACCATCCATAGCTCTCCCCCAGCTGACTCCTACATCACACAGACATCACTGATCGAGGTAGGCCCAATCGTCTCAAATGATTCAGACTTACTACTTCATCGATTGATTCAAGTAAGACTACTATTAGAAACCTGAGTGTACTACCAAACAGTCGTTTCGTTACAGCATAAAACTTCCTAACAAATAAGTGTGTTTATAATCCTGGACAAGTGGACGGCACCCAAGACCTTTGCGATCTCACACCCGTAAGCGATTTATCTCTTTATAAGCCACTGATGTCTAACTAGCTTCAGTCAGACAATTCCCTACATTGTACAAATCTTTATCATTATCTAAAGAGTTCCACACACAAGAAACAAACAAAAATGACCTTTGACCAGTACACTTCTACGTTTTTATCATCATGTTGTTAGGTAGGAGGGTCCAGCCGAAATCAATTCTTAACACATATATAAATATATATACATGATGAACACTTACCGCATTGCTCTTGTAACCAATGTGAATATCATATCATCGATACGAATTGAAGAAATATTATGAATATTATTATTACTATTGTTAGTAGTAGTAGTATTGTTACTACTATTATTAGTAGGAGTAGTACTACTACAACTACCATTTCCACAATTATTATGATTATTACTGTTATTATTATTTGATGAATATGTCCAACAAGTATTGAATGAAACAAATTGATTAATTTTTTGTGTATCCAATAAATAATTTAATACAAATTCAGCAACAGCATGAATTGGATACGTATCTGAGTGTACAATCAAACCAAGTGATGACCACCACCAAAAATTCATTAATACATTTACATTTGTAGAAGAATAATGATAATCAAATTTATTCATTGTACGTATTGACGACAAAGAGGATGGAATAGGTGGACCTAGTAATTGACATAAAATTTCACACATTGTCAATGCTGTAGTCATATCTTTTGGTATGGTATTTAATAAACTTAATAAACGTGTTTCTTGATGTTGACAAGCTAATAAACGACTAATTGAACCGACAAGACGTCGTTGTTGAAATAAACTTAACAGACTGATCTGAAAGAAAGAAAGAAAGAAAAGGGAGGAAAAACAATAAAGAATACTTTGATTTAAAAAAAAGTTCGAATTATTTTTTCTGGTTAGCGTTTTTTTAGCGAGTTGGTTTTCTGCGGGATAAGGTCACTAACCCCCCCCCATACCCGACCCTCCTCCTTTACCCGAGTCTGGGATCGGTGGTAGCCCCAGGAGGGTTCCAGGAAGAGTGTTTATTAACAACTGTCTACGCAAAATACTTAGGATCCGTTGGCCAGATACTTTCAGAAACAACTTGCTGCGAGCGAGAACAAAAACAGATTCCAGCGGAGGAAGAAGCGATGGAAGTGCATAGGACACACACAAGACAAGCGCTCATCTAGAATCATCAAGGTCAAAGGAAAAGAGGAAGGTCAAGGGACAAATTAAGCCGAGAAATGGAGACAGACATGAGGAGAATGAACAACATTTGAGCAGAACTAGAAAGGAAGGCCGAGGATAGAGTAGGTCGGATAATGCTGGTCGGTGGCCTATGCTCCATTGGGGATAACAGACATAAGTAAGTAAGTATCATAGTTGTAATCGCGAACTGATCAATTCCAGCATAAGATGGTTGTTCCATCCTAGTATAGGACACCTCATCAGTGTGCACCCACGAATCGAACGCAGGACCTTTGCGGTCTAGCGTACAAACCTTTAGAGCACTGTGAGTCAATCATTCAATAGTGTTAATGTCCAGGATCTATCTATCACTGTTGGTTTGATAAATTTTAATAAAAGGCCTTAGACTGATAACATCAATTCATTTTTTATATCCTGAGCAGTTGAGAAACGGTGACAAAGCTATGATTCGAATTAATTCTTACATTCACATAATAATAGATAATTATGCATATATATTTATATATAGGACATTTTTCCAACAAAATCAATACAGTCTGTAAGAAGTAGTCGCTTTCATCGTTCAACTATCCCTATCGCAATAATAGCATGATGATGAATTCATGCATGTTAACTTGCTAATCCATGGGTTATTTGAATAAGCGTTTAGGTCACGTCTTTGACCTCTGATAAGAGAAAAAAAATGATTTATCAACATAATCGTAAAATATGATTATGATGATTGCTATTATTATTATTATCATTAGGAGAAAATCAATGAGAAGAAATGAGAAATGAAACAGTGCAGAGGGAATAAGATTTAGAAATCATTAAATCTAATCTTATTATTCCATATAATAAGTATGTTTCAATTGATAGTTGATAAACTAACGTGCAACAATAACATGACGCACAAACACACATGCACACACATGGGGACGGATGGAAGCAGAGATGGATGCATTAGAATATTATGGAGATAGTTGTTTTGCATTGGAATTATGAATGAATCATTATTAGACCGACATTGAAAAACCTGGAAGTACTGGACGGTTGTTTCGTCCTACTATAAGGGGGACTCATCAGCAGTGCATATCCAATAGTGTTAATGTCTAACTTGAATCAATCCAAGGTATCGTGCATATAACCGGTAGGTAACTGCCCCACACCCGAGACAAGATTGAACTCCAAGCGGTCATAGCTTAGTTCGCTAGAACTCTGAGGACTTTCGCATGAAGCCAGTCAGTATTTCAATAAAAAAAATACTAAACTAAATGTAGAAGAGCAAGTGCTACACAGTTCAATAACTGAAAAGAAGGTGAATTAATCAATTATTCACTCCTTTACAACTGACCATCGGCTTCATCAAGATCATGATGAATAAATAAATAATGAATAAATAAACCAAAGAGGATTAAACAATCCAAGTGCATGTGTGTGTGTGTGTTGCAACGTCGATAAAAATGAAATTTAGTGTTAGACAGAGAGCGAGAGCGAGAGGGAGAGGACAGAGATAAAGTTCACAAATCAAATATAATACAAGTTGAGATATTTTTTTTATAATTTCAGACATCAGATGTATGTAAACATTCATCAAATTATTACCGATATATATATAGATATTTGTATATAATAGATATATAAGTGTACCTATGTTGTTAATAAAAACAACTATGAAGGAATAAACAAACAAGACTACGGATATATATATAAATATATATATATATATAACTATTACAACAGATAAACAGATGAATTTAGGGACAATGCAAAGATAAACACACACAGAGATGGATAGATAGATAGATAACAGGATAATGATGAATTTAATAGAAAAGAATAAAAGACAATTACAAAATCAAGATGAGCTAGTTAGCATTGGACGTTAAAGATCACTAATTATATGGAGCATCGGGCATCATCTAATTTATTCTTGATGAAATGACTAGTAATTACTCAGTATTATTATCATTAATATTATGATCACTATATCCCTGATACACAATGTTATCTATTTCTCAGTTGGACAAGGGAATATTGATCGATTTTAAGCTCTATACTAATTGGATACAATAACAAACAATATAAATGAATAGTTAACAGGGAACGAATCTATGATCTATACGGTTCAAATGACTTAATCATGAGGTTTTTAGCGATCTTGTCTTCTTACAAGGAAGGAACGGGTTAGAAAAGGTAGACTCTAAAAGTGTCATACCTCACCTTGCCCCACTGATTTCTGGTTCCGGTGGTAAGGCCTTTGGAAGAGTGGAGCTAACACTTCCAAAACATCCCATAAAAAGGCCACGTGATCCGACTCAAGCCGTTGTCCCTGTGGTTGACTCTGGGGTGATGTTTCTAGGTCGCTAAAACCAACGCTAATCCGATTTCCTTTTCAGGTTACTTAAGAAGCAGGGAAATGACATCCACCGTCATACTCGTAACAACACACAACACCAAATCGGTCACAATCAAATCCTTCCCACTCATCTTAATAACTCTTATCTTAAAGAATAACTATTCTCACGGTCCATTGTCACCTTGCGCTGCTGATGCAAACATTTTGAGTTCACGAAACGTTATTCCTGGACTCCTGAAACCCAGCACTGGATGGCCGTTTCGTCCTATAATACGGGACTCATCAGTGCACATCCATGACTCCTGCTCCCCGTGGAAATCGAACAATGAGATACGCACAAAAATGGTGTCTTTAATCAGTTAGCACAATTTTAATTATAGGTGTAGTACATTCATCAATCAGAAAATAAAAAACTTTTAACAAATTATCAACAACAAAAAATCAAAATTTACTTTAACCGCTAAGCATAAATAAAATGATGCTTTTTCCATATGACCCCATAATGGTAAGGCGATTGATGGAGCTTGATGATTGGCTGCTTCAACAACAATTGCAGCTGCATCTAATAAACATTCAACAAGACATAATATCGGTCGACCAGGTAGACCAATCCAACCAATTTCTGTATGACTAGGACAATTTGTTGAAATCAAACCACAATTTATATCAATTTCATTGGTGAATGGATAAAATTCACCGGCGAACATATTACCATTACTATTAGTTGAATAAGATGAAGGAATTGATCTTGCATTCATAGATCTATTGGTGAGAGTTGGAGAATTCAAAGAACGATTATGATGATGACTAGGATGCATCATCATCATCATCATGTTACCGTTACTACCATTGTTACAACCAACTGGACCTCCGACACCGTGAGGCGGTGGTGGCGGCGGCGGCGGTGGTAGACATGAATAAGATGGATAAGGTGAATTTGAATGAGGTACATGCTTATGATAATGATGTTGATGATGAGTTATAGGTGTCGGTTGATGATAAGGATTATGAAATGGTATAGGAGAGTGTGATGCAGGTGGTACAGGTGAACAATGCGGTGAATTGAACGGATGTGATTGATTGGCATATTGTTGACATGATGAAGGTGATTTATATACATAAGATGGTTGATTAGACCAACAATTATTATTACTATTATTATTGATATTGTTATTATTACTACTACTATTATTACTACTGCTGTTATTATTATTATTATTATTATTACTATTATTATTAATGATAATTGATTGATGATTAGTTGGGCAAGATGGACCAGGACTTGGATTGGAATTCGGTGAGAGACCATGTCGTCTGGTAGAGATGGAACGTGAATGATGATTCACATTCACTGGAGGAGATAATGATGCTGGTCTAGGTGATGTAAGTCGACTGGACGGTGAGAATTTCCCATGATTTGGTAACATTGACGGAGAAGGAGGCATATTGGCTAGTTAGAAAAAGAAAATAATAATAATAATAATAATAATAATAATGCAATAATGTGAAATGGGATGTAAAACTGTGACTTACTAGTTAACATATATACCCAAGGAGCTCTGTGACAAACACATTCCAAATCCGAGAAACCTAGGAGTATCATCAAACTAGTACGGATCATCATGGTGTGGAATATTATAAGTCCGTTAATAGTAAACGAATCTATACAACACTAACAGCTTAAAAGCAATATATATGAAAATCGAATGCCATATATATATAACACTACTGGTTGGGACATGTGTTATGTATGCCCCACCAGTGACTAAGCCGACAAGCGATGTTTTGTGGTGTAGGAGTGGAGTGGAGTGGAAGAAGGCTAGAGGCGGCCAAATCAAACCATGGCACAAATGCACGAAGTCATCACGTCAAGATAGCAGCTACGGTTTGGATTAAAGGTGGCTCTCACCGTCACTATATTGCTGCGACATCCCATCATAATCAAAATACAACTAGATAGATAGATAAGTCGTCATATATTAACTTGTTCCGTGTCAAACTGGACAATGTTTATCAAACAAAACTGTAAGCACATACGTAATAATAACTTACATGAAGATAAATATCGTGCACTAGAATTATGCATTACATAATGTGAATTCATGTTGTTATTAACTCGTAGTAATTGACCATTATTCGATTGTGGTGGTGTATTGAACAATAAACGACGTGCTACAATATCATGACAATTATTAGCATTATTATTACTATTATTATTATTAATATTATTATTATTCCATGATGTTTGTGGAGGACTACGTTGAATAGTACTGAGCATTGAAGTTGCAGCCATTGATGCTTTCATTTTCACTGAACGCAATAAACGTTGACTAATCAACACAGCCAATTGTAATGCTTGACTCAGATAACCATTCGTGCGTAATGCGGCTACACGTAAACACAATAAAGGGAATGGTTCATTAATTGGTCCGGAATAATCACAATAAGGGCATTGACATTCTCTTGGTGAAGTGTTCGACTGAGGGAATGGTCGATTATTGAAACCGATCGATCGCCTCGGAGTGACTGACGACGGTCGTCGAAATATTCTACTACAATCATTATTGTTTTCATCTAAACTGATGCTTGTTGAATGATTATGTCGACTAGCAGCATTCAAATCTTCACTAGGTTCTGATTCGTGTTTATCTAATTTCATATCATGAATCGACAGGAGTTGATTCCACCAGACATCATCCCAAGACATATAACTAGCTTCAATTGGTAAACGAAACACTGAAGCACGTCTGTAAGAACGAGTCGACGATGATGATGATTGCTGACAAGATGGTTGTTGCTGCTGCTGCTGTTGATGTTGTTGTTGGGTTTGTTGATTTTGTCCAACACCATTATCATCATCTATGTCGTTTAATTCATGTATCGATGTAAGAAAATGACTAGGAATTGCATAGGACTCATCGCGTGGACAACGATTAGCACGTGCCCAGGTTAAAAATCGATAACGCCATTGTCGTTTCGCTTCCACACTACAATCTGGACTTAAAACTACACATGTCCATAGTAGACAAACTTCTTCCCATAAACGTACAGTCCATGGTGGAGATTGATTGAAATTAGATGAATTATGATTATATGTAGCATTATTAACAGAATTCGTTGTTAATGTCTCATTGGTGTATTGACGCTCATTTGATGATTGTTGACCATGAGAAGACAGACGAGGTGTAGCAATTGTTTGTAGTCGATTAGATACTACATCGTTTGTTGTATTGCGTTGATTACGTCTAGATTTTATTAGCTAGAAATTAAGGATAGAAATAAGGTTGCATGAATAGTATTTATTATGGAGATGGTTGTTTTTATACATTTGAAATCATGAATGAATCATTGTTAGACCACCACCAATGAGAAAACTGGAAGCACTGGACGGCAGTCGAGTCTTGGTGTGGGGTGACTCATCGGCAGTGAGCATCCACGAATCCTGCTACTCCCAAGATTCGAACCCAGAACCTTTAGACTACTGAGCCGGCACCCAATGGTGTTAATGTCTAACTCTGACCAATCTAAGGATTTTGCGCAACCTTACTCATTGTTTTCTGTAGTTACTGCCTACACCCCAAAAATGATTTTAAAAAAGCTTTTTAAAAAAAATACAAGAAGATAATTAACGATTACTGATGGAGAATAATAGTTGCCTTATTATATGGACACTGAGAGAGATTGATTCCGATATTGACGTGAATATATAGTTTCTGCATTCTAGCTAATGACTAACACTTTCATCAACTATAGCTCTTTTGAAATTATATGCCTAGACTCTGAAGATTGAAGATAGAAAGAAATGAAAATGTGTCAAGAATATGTTTCAGAGATGTTGGTTACCGAGTTGAGAAGATGAAAAGCAAATGTCCGACACTTTAACCGGATTGATGAGTACGGAGGATCTAACTAGTCCAGTTACAAAACCCTCATTCCAAAGAAATTGTGCACATCGGCCTTACAATCTCGAAGAAACAACTGGTAAATGAAATTATTTCTAGTTACCAGCTACCATAAGACTGCATCTATTAACGTTGCTCCACTACCTTGTAGATTAGATCTATAGGTAAATGGCTTGGAGGATAGTCTGTGCAGTAACTCAAGTTCACCGAATAATTCATTGATTTATGTGTTGCGAAAATATTTACGTATTCTTTTTACAGCAATACTTACGTACTAAAACAAAACAAAAAACCATTCATTGTAGTGAAATTCAACTCTGTCGCATAGAGGCAGTAGTTACCTACCGAAGACAATGGCTAAGGTCGCACACCAACCTTAGATTGATCAAAGTTACACATCAATATCGTTGAATACCGGCGGCTCAACGGTCTCGAGGTTAAGTGTTCACACACGCGAGCCATGACCGAAGGTTCTCGGCTCGATTCTTGACAGGAGAAGGGGTCGTGGGTGCGCATTGCCACCAATGAGACTCACACTATTAAAATGAAATAGCTGTCCAGTGGCTTTAATAATTCTTTCTATTGTTGGTCTAACTAACCATGACTGATTCATCACAATATGAACGTGATAATTTTCTCATAACAATTTTCAGAACAACAAGAAAATCATTTCAATCAATCAATCAATAGAACTTACTGGCAATTTAGAACAATTCAATAATTCTTCCGTGATTAAACTTAATAAACGTGGACCATTTGAATCACGTTTTGCTAATAATTCACGAACTTTAGCAAACATAGCAGGGATTTGTGTTCCACTATTGTTATTATTACTACTAACATTATTACTAAATTGATTATGACAATGATGTAAAAAACTCGAATCAAATTGTGTATCGAATGATGAATGAGGCCAATAATGATATTGATTGTGATGTAGATGAAATGGTGAAGTGGATGTACAATAAAGACGACCATTATTATTATTATTATTATTATTATTATTTTGATTACTATGATTAGTATTATTAGCAGCAGCGGCGGCGGCGGCGCTAGAGGCAGTATTTGAATTAGACGATGCTTCTGAATGATGATGATGCTGATGATGATTCATTGATAAAGATGGTAGATAATGATGATGATGAAATGCTAAATCTAAACCATGTAACATGTAAGAATTATTACATGTATGTATTGTTTCATAAATAGTATTATTATGGCTATTGTTGTTGGTGTTGTTAGTTCCACCAATAAGAAGATTTTGATTCAATGTTAATCGACGATATCTAAGTAACCAATCTAAGCCAACTTCAGTTGTACACTGTTGATAATCATGATCTATATGAGTAAGAGAAAAATATGTAACGAAGTTTATTATTATTGTTGTTATTAGAGGAAGTGCAGTGTATGGTTAAATTGTTCACAATAGCACAAACAGTTGAGGTGTTACCTATGCTCAACCAAACGTCGATTACCTCGATGAGCGACGTTGTCTATCTGATGTGTAGGAGTAAGCTAGAAGAGAGCTACTAGTAGACAAACCAAAACACGGCAAAAATCCATGAAGTCACTGACAACTGGGCTGAGCCATGTTAGTAAGTGTACACTACCTGGTTGAATGAAGTGCGCAACATGATAGTGTAACCGGTGGTTAAAGACCTTGGCATGACATGGCTCAAAGTCGTTTTCCCCGGTGCAGATGCATTCAATTTTTGTTTTCTTTCAAAATTTTTCTGATTAGCGTGTTGATTTTCTACGGGATGCGGTCGCTAAACCAATGCCCAACTCCCCTCGCCTTTATCCAGGATTGAGACCAAAAGTAATCCTAGAAGGTCTTCAGGCGGAGTTTTAATAAGTTATCTATCATCTATGCACTTCTACGCAAAAAATACACAAGGCATTATCTTAACATGGTAATAAGTTGACTCAAGGCCATCAGCATGAGTAATCGAGTGAGCAACGCTGTTATTAGGAAACGGGTACTACGTAAGAATGGCAGACCAATAGATGAAGTGATGAAACTTCATCAGTTGAGGTGGTTGCGACATGTTTTGCGAATGCTCAACCACCAACTGCCTCGACGAGCTTTGTTTTGTAGTGTAGGAGTAGATTGGAAGAAAGTTAGGGGCGGCCAAACCAAAACATGGCAGAAATCCATGAAGTCATTGACGAGTGGACTTAGCCATGTCGGTAGTTGTCGACTACCTGGTTGGGGTCCACGAGATGATAATAATCGATGGTTAGAGACCCTGAATTACATGGCTCAAAACCGTTTGCAATGGCGCAGGTGCATTTATTCTTTGTGTTCTCTCAAATCCTAATCTTCTGGATTCTTCAACCCCTCTAGTTTTGACTTTCTAAACTTTTCTCACTGAATCATATTTCTTGAATAGTATCTTCTAATGCTAACCTCTGCGATTACTTCTAATACCCTTACTAACTCTTCTACTATTGGATTTGAATTGACAATTACATCTCTGTGCTGATGTGGTATGGCGACATGAACTGATGTACTTACGTACGAAGTTCTACGTTGCAACTGACTGACTGTAAGTTTTAAAACTATCTTCAAGTCGTAGTTGATCTTACATATGTGACCAGTGGAGCTTAACTTTGTCGGGTGTAGGTAGTAACTACCGAAGACACTGGGTGAGGTTGCGCAAAATCCCTAGTTTGGTCAGAGTTAGGCATTAACACCGTTGGATGCCGGCCCCAACGGTTTAGAGGTGAAGCGTTCGCGCGCAAGGTCCTACGAACAGCAAGATTCGTGGATTTGAGTTGCTGATGAATCTCATACCTGGACGAGACGGCCATCCAGTGCTCCTTTATTTCTAATCGTAATCTAACAATAAGCTGTCATACATACACATGTAAAGTGTTTTTTTTCCTTACTCAATGTAATTTCTCGTATGTACTGCTCTCATTTATAATCTAGACAGAAGGTGGTCAACGACGATACACTAAACGTGATGCTAGTGTATTTATGCGTCGTAGTGAATATGGCATAGTTGATCAAGTTATGGTCACATGGAATAATGAGGGTAATAAATTTTGTAAAGTACGTGTACGTACTACAAAAGCACCACAAGTTGGTGATAAATTCGCTAGTCGACATGGACAAAAAGGTACATGTGGCATTCGTTATCGTCAAGAGGATATGCCATTCACGTGTGAAGGAATTACACCAGATATTATTATTAATCCACATGCTATACCTAGTCGAATGACTATTGGACATTTAATTGAATGTTTACAGGTAAGAATGATTCTTTAATTATAAAGCATTTATGATAGATATCTTTTTTTGTAAGTTAGTAATGATAATTAATGACGGGTGAC